AAAAAAAAAAAAGAAAAGAGCGGTTGCCGGAGGGAGACGGGAGGGAGTGGTGTGTTGGGGAAGTGAAAACATTTAATTAAAATAATATTATGTGTTAAGGTTGATGGAGATAAAGTAATAATAAAATGATATGTTAGTTGGTTTTAGTGGGATGATGTAATAATTGATTTTATTTTTGACTTATTTAAAGGTAGGGAGTTAGAAGGAAAATAATTATGGGGGTAGGGAGTTAAAAGGAAAAAAATTTGATTAGGGACTGATAAAGAAGTCAGATTTAGCTTTAGGAATTTTTAAGTAACTTTCCCTTAAAACAATGTTTTTCATTTATAGTGTAAAAAATTTATTCTGTTTTTTAGTAAGTCTAAGCGAGGTGTTGCAATGATAACTTAGTATAGACCTTAAAAAAAAGCTCTTGTTAGTTGGAAACTCAAAAGAAAAACAAAAAAAAAAGTGAACTCCTATCTTATTAATTAACTTATGATTTATGATTATATTAAAGGGCCCACCGATCCGAAGGCAAAGCGGCCCGCAAGTACAGAAATTAAGAAAATTGGAAATATGGTCGGAATGTTTAATGATTACATTTGAAGCTTTGACTCGTTTATAATTAAAAAAAAAATAATAAATAAATAAAAATAAAACTTCTTGTTTCAAATTCAAGGAAAAGCTTTTTCCTCCAAACTTTGCTTTTCCTTAAAATTTCTCATCTTTTCTCTTTCATTTCCACCTCTTTCCATTACCGTTTTTCCTCAATTTCTCTCTCCTCTTTTTCTGCTGTCAACGCAGAAAAGAGAGAGAGAGAGAGAGAGGACGCATTTTCTTTTCTATTTCTTTTTTTTTTTTTGTTTTCTCGGATTTCGATTTGGATATGATGCGTCGTCTGAAGAGCATTGCTTCTGGTCGGGCTTCCGTCTCAGATCCTGTAATTTTCCTCAAAATTGTGTCTTTTTTTGATGTTTATGTTCATGGGCTCTTGTCTTAGGGTTACTTGAACGCATCTACTTGGTGAAAATTGTTTTGGAGAATATATTTATGTAATGTATTATGTAAATTTCTATGTACGCACTTAAATAAATTGAGAAAAAGATCAAATTTTTGGTGAAAATTGTTTATATTGCAGTTATTTGTTGTTAAGGGGGCATTTGTAATTTCTGCAATTAATGTTTGCATTTAGGTTGAAATTTTAAGGGTTAGTGTTTGTAATTCAATCCTGTAGATGTGTGTGATGGTGACATGTTTCTGCTGAAAATGGCGATAAATGACCCGTTTTTTAAAATTTTGAATTGGCACCTATTTGATGTGTGTATGTGTGTGTATGTGTGTGTATATATGCAATGCCATGAGATTTTTGTGTAGCAATGAACTATCATATTTACGCTTGATTGAACGGGATGAAATTTTTCATTTGTTTTCGATTGATCCAATAAAGCTCGATGATTTAGATAGATAAACAAAGTGTTCAAGAATGCCAAAAAAAGTGGAAAAGAATCGATTGCTTGCTTTGGAATAGGGGAAAAAGAAAATGCCAAATTAGAAGTGTTTGAATGACGAGTTTTTTGCTCTGATCAAAATTCAAACGAGAGGGAGTGTACGTGCTTCTGCTTTGCTTTTTATACACATATATTTCTTTTCCAGACATACTCACCGAGCACTATTCTCCTATCATATTCAACTTTTAGCGTCTATATGGCAATGCCACCAACTATGATTTTTAATCACATTTGTTAGAGACACTGTAAGTTTTGATTGATTTGATTTTTTGCTTTAGGGTGGGGATTTAAGCACTAGCAAGTCAAAAATGGAGCATGAATCGAATCAAAGAGACTTACACAAAGTAGAGGTAGGAGAAAAAAGTTCAAAAGCTCCAAAGGAGCTTACGGTATTTAACTCGTCTGAAACAACCGCAAGCACATCCTCCAATGCTGTAAATGGTAAAAAGCCCGAGAACACGGACCACAAAGAGCTACCCAAAAATATGCCCGAAATGAAGATCAGAGATGGTAAAAATGCTAACGGAGAGGAGAATGTCAAGGTCTGAATTTATACGTGTATCTTTCCTTTATTTCTTTTGTTGGCTTTGTCTTTATCTTT